ACAGGCTGGGGGTTGACCTGCTGGCAAGCCGCTCTGCTGAGAAGGACCTGGGAGTGCTGGTGGACAAGTTAAACATGAGGCAGCAGTGTGCCCTTGTGGCCAAGAAGGCCAATGGTCTCCTGGGTTGCATGAGGAAGAGTGTTGCCAGCCAGTGGAGGGAGGTGATCCTGCCCCTCTCCTCAGCCCTGGGGAGGCTTCACCTGGAGTGCTGTGTCCAATTCTGGGCTCCCCAGGACAAGAGACACATGGCACTCCTGGAGAGAGTCCAGCGGAGGGCTGCAAAGATGATGAGGGGACTGGAGCATCTCGCCTCTGAAGAAAGGCTGAGGGAGCTGGGCCTGTTTAGCCTGGAGAAGAGAAGACTGAGAGGCGATCTCATCAATATGTATAAGTATCTGAAGGGAGGGTATCAAGAGGATGGGGCCAGACTCTTCTCCGTGGTGCCCAGCAACAGGACAAGAGGCAATAGAAGTTCCATCTGAATCTGAGAGGTAGTGGAGTCTCCTTCGCTGCAGATATTCAAAACCTGCCTGGATGCGAACCTGTGCAATGTGCTCTGGATGACCCTGCTTGAGCAGGGAAGTTGGACTAGATCTCCAGAGGTCCCTTCCAACCTAAACCATTCTGTGATTCTGTGAATTTTTAAGGCTGTAACTCAATTAATACAAATATAATACACATATACCCTCTCTTGGTGTGTAATCTCCTCCACAAGACCTCTGCTTGCAAAATGTCAGTCCTTTTGTTTTCCTGGTTCATATCAGCAAATACCCGGATCCTGGCTCTCCCTCCAGGCTGTCCTCTGGCACCGCAGGTAGACCTGCATGCTGCAGTGTGTATGAAGCAGCAAAGGCATCGCAGAGCTCGGTTCAACTTCACTTTTTACAGCTACCGAAACAGCAAGCCTCTCCTCTCCACATCGTACTTCACAACATGAGGTGTGATGGTTACAGCTGGTTGCGCTCCACGTCTCCATTTCACATTTCTCTATCCTCGGGCATTCTTGACATCCAAAACTACAATCAGTTGTTAGAAAGAGCCACTAGAGTGACATTTGCAAGCCTTACCTTGATGAAGTGCACACCAGGCACAACAGAGCTTAGGCCTCTCTTTTGAGACGCTGCTAAACACACACACCTCTGCATAGTTAAAGCTGCATTTACGTGGGGGTTTTTCTCTCTTATGAGCAAGAAAGTGGAGTTACAAAATAAAAGTTTCCTTTAAGCATAAACATTATTTTTTTCTCCCCTAAACAATCCTTTTTAGTGTGCTTTCACAACAGCTGCCAACAGTCTCCTTTGACATTCTCTGCACCCATACTGAGCTTTCAGAAGTCATTCCAATAAAAGAAATAATAGCAATTGGAACATTTTTCCAGCTCATGTGCTGTCCTCATCGCATTCAAGAGAAAAAATAATGGTAGTTATTATCCTATCATAGTAATCACACTTTAACCTCTTGAACATATTGTGGACTAATGGGACATCTATCTGTCAGCAGATAATTCAGGGCACTAGAAAGACAGTGAACATGGAAAATCCAGCAGGCAAATAAAAGGGTATTTGGCTTACAAAGAACCATTTCTTCCATTGGCACATAAAACAATCACACTAAAAGCCTAAAGTGGGATTAGAGAATAAAGAAAGAAGGACCCACTCTCTCAGAATGCTTCTTATTACAGCATTCTCACATGACTCTTAAAAAGAAGATAAGCAGTGCTTGTTGCAGACATGGACACAGCACAGAACACTTAAGCTTTGGGAGTCTTGTACTCCCATAGAGCAGGACTCATCCAGAGCAGCTACTATCACAGTCAAAGACTATTTCTGAAGATTATCCACACTCCTGCAGGCTTCTGAATCCAACCCTGTCCTCTACCAAGCCAGATTCTTGTAGGAATATAGCAGTCTTGCTTAGCATTTCACCTATAGGCAGCTTCAGGGGTAGGAATAGAAGCACAAAGCAGGGGGCAATGTTTTTAGGATGACTCACTCTCACGCCTAGTCCTGAAGCTAGCTCAGTCAGTGGCAAAGCCCTCAGACCACTGCAGCATCAGTCCTTCCTCCCCACAGGCCAGTACTGCCATCACAAAAGCCAAGAATGAGACATCCACCTCAATTTTGGCCTTTACGTAGATTATATGGCCCACTTGCTCCTCTTTAACCAATGTACACAGTAGCCAGCTTATTTTTACATGTTCTGTCTCTTCTCAGATTACCTGGAGTATGTTAATGGCTGTAACTACAACTTGTCTAAGTTTAGGCAACTAAGGCAATGAATACTCTCTGGCCTAAGTCAAGATAATAAATTAACCAGCCATTTAGGCAACACTAAGAACTGAAGTTAAACTCGGCTTTTCCTACCACTTATATATGCACTTACAAAAGTCTGTGCACACATTGCATCCAGCAGCAACCACATGCTAGAAGTACATGTGGATGTTGAATGTATTCACCTAGCAGTTACTGCTGCTGGATAGAGAATCCAGGTGACAGATGCTATGATTCTTGTGGCAGGTGATTAAAAGCTATTGCAATGACTTTGCAAAGTTTTGACGTTTTCCCCTAATGGTACTATCCAGATTGTCTCTCGGTGTGGTTCCAATGAACAGCCTGCCCACCTCAGAGGATGCCAAGAGGAAACACTCAAGCATCTCAGACTGATTGGAAAAGCCCTTTAGGATGCATTTACCTATACATCAATCAGTATGGACTGACTGCAGGAGTGCCTCATTTTGTAAAAAAAAGACCACAACGTTGACTATACATTGCACAGTCCAATGCTCTAGTACATTAGTTCTCCATCTGTACTATGAACAGAACCATATTTTCAATGCAGGTCTAGATGGAGCTTAAGGTAGGTGAAATATATGGATTATATGCAGATGTGAGCAAAACACTGCGGCAAGAAGCTGGAGTATTGCATAACAAAGTAGTTAGGAAAGGGAGAGCTTTATTTCTGTGACAAAAATCCACCGCAAGCACAACATCAGCTATTTTAACTACATTGAAAATATAGTTGTATAGTCCTAAGAAGCCCCAAAGCTACCAATTAAACCAACGAGTTCTCAAAAGTTTTTTGGAAAGTCATGAGAAGAGTCTGAAGTTTTCAATTCCAATTTAATACTAAAGATTTGCTGGATATTGTTGAATACAGTAGTCTGGATGACGAGGTATGGAGTCATGGTAATGCTAGATAAACATACAGACTCTTCTCCTCATTCTTAGCTCTTAAGTTCAGCAGTGCACATAATTAATAGGCCAGCAGTCTACAGCCAATACCACAAAAGAAAGCTTGAGCCAGTTTCACACACCTGGAAGTTACTGAATCATTCAGGAAACTAATAAACAGGTCAAGTCATTTCTGTCCTCCATAGTTGGCATCAGACACGGTCTACCTATAGAGTGAAATTTTAATTCAATAATTTAAAGTTTATATACTGCTTTTGTAAATGGACTATTTAATGCCCAATTAGACTAGAGATATTCAGATAGCTTTATTTTAAGCTTTGTGGATTTTCAAAACATGTACAAATAAAATAATTGTTACAAAACCCCATTTGCTAGAGTTTCTCCAGCAATATACATCAAGCATGATCCGAGCACAGAGATAAGTGACTTTTACAGGAAGCAATACACAGAACAATAAATGGTAATAAAACAGCCGGTCTTTCCAAATAGATCACAATGCAAAACAGTTTTCTTTCCCTTTGCCACACCCAATATTTGAATACTTTTTTAGCTAGCCGCATCTGAAGTTAAAAGATGGTAAGTAAACTGACTGTGGAAGTTGAGAGGCACTCAGAAGCCCTGAAAGGGAAAAGAAGCCATGTTTTTCAAGTTTACTAGTTCAGGGGTAAAAATTCCTGAGAGCCAGAAAACAGACAAACCCGTTTTCTTTGATGAAGAGATGTTTGACAGACAGCTGTAAAGACGAGCTATATGATTTTAAGAGTAACAGTAAGACAAAACAAGCAAACCAATCTAAGTCTAAAGGTAACACTAAATGAATAGGAATGCTACTATAGGGAAGGACTGGAAAAAACTTTTACAGAGAAAGCAAAGATCTACCCAGAGATAGAAGAGAGATGTGCGTGCAAGCCTTGTCATTAAGATGACAAAGACTTTTACAGTACATGTCAAAACTGTAACCCACCTTAACTACATACAGTACGTAACTGACCTCAAGAGTTAAACTATAAACAAACTTAAAGGAAACACTGCACCTGATGACTTCAATATCACCACGAGAACATTCATTACTTGAAGTTAGTACATGGGAAGAAAAATAAAAAAAATCAAAAGAGGATCCACATTTGTCTAATTTACTGTTTGTTGTTGATGCAGAATTGCTCAGCAACAAGTGTTTAATTAAACAGCTGACTGAATTCTCTGGGGTCTGGAAACTGATCTCAAAACTGGTCCTCTGACCTTCCACCTCACACCCCCAAGCTGCTGCTGGGCATCAAAACAGCTCTGCTACTTCTACTTTTTATGGATAATACCCCAGCAAGGCCCTGTTCCTTGCCATGTGTGACAAGGGTCCTGATTATATCCTTTCTTTCACCTATTGTGCATACAGAAGTTGCACCATTCAGTTATGATGCTGCTCCAATTTTCAATGCTTTCCAACACATAGACAGGTCAAGCTAACTAGATCATACATAAGCACATTCTCACTGTTCACTCAGGCGGATCCAAGCCTTCAGAATAGTCAAGAAAACTGCAATGCTTCTCAGTTTTTGGAAAATTCAAAGCATTGAGAAACCCATTATATCTGAAAGGTATCAAGCACCACAATAAGCAACACTCAGAGGAAACAAGAGTGCAGCATACTGGTGAAAGTGAGTCAATGTAGCCTCCAGTCAAATTTAAAGATCTAATCCTGAAGGTTAAAATAGTTTCATGACCACTACACCATCCATGATCAGCCACAGGTTTGGGACTATTAGCAGCTAAATACAGTGTGTAAGACCAACCTTTAGGTTCTGACCTAAAGACCTAGTAACATACCACTGGGGAGGTATGATCTAGTTTGAGAGTTGGAACATCATTAAGCTGACTAGAAAGCAATCGTTTTTCTTGTATGAGGCCCTCACCCTAGCCATACTTGTCCAAGAGCAGGGCAGGACTCCCAAGAACCCAGGCCCCACCCTATCAATACTCATTATTCTTGAGACTGCAGTTGTTTAAGTTATGTCATCTCCTTAAGAGGAGAGTGGTTAAGCCAAGCTACTCCAGCCCCATTTCCCCTCCTTCGTAAGAGAACTGGGGCAACTGCAACAACTGTGCGGCTGTTATCAGCTCAGTTTACCAATATGAGAGTAGCAAGTTCTCACAGCTTTGGCAATGTATTACTTTATAAAGATAAAAAGGCATTTGGAAAATAGCAGCTGCAGAGAAAGACCACAACACCTTTCCCTGAAAGTTAATCTTCAGGGTGCTTATACTAAGAGACATGTTGAATCATTTTAGTTTGATGTTGTAATAACTTTTCCTCTAAAAGAACATTATATTAGGACATCTGCTTTATATAAAACTGCCCATCCCTGTATCTTATGGAAGGACTGCTGCTCCATTCCCTAATGGACTTGCTAGACTTCAGGCTTTTGCCCTAGATTCAGGTCACTGGTAATTGGACCTGTGTGGAAAAACATATGGACTCAGTTCAATGTGGCTTAATTAATTTCTTAGTCTGTTGATTTGGCAGTTGTCCGGCTGAACAGAACAGTTGGATATCTAAACTCGCCTTAAAGAGGACATGATCACAATAGCTAACTTCCCCAAAATATGCTCAACTCCTTCTGTGCTACTATACTTTGAAATAAACATTTAATGTTGCTTAGAACACAAAGTGAAAGCAGTTTTAGTTGCTCAGGTGAGACTAACAGTTCCGTTAACTAAAAGGAGTAACTTCTCTTCTACAGCATTCAGACTGGAAAAAACACACACAGCACAAAACTTAAAACCCAGTGATGTTACCAACACTTTCTCAAACTGAGGCACAGAACTGACAGGTGCTACAAAGTCTAGCAACAGCTGAAATAGAATCAACTACAGCAACTTTACACCTGGGGCATGTTAGTCCAAACTGGTCAGTGCACCAAAAGTTGTAAGGCCACAGCTTAAAGGGGAAGGAATTCTAGGCCCTCTACTGAGCTGTAATGGGCACCTTTCAATATTGTAATCGCCATAAATGCTTCCAGAGTAAAGAAACATCCATGCAGTAAAAAAGAAGCAACATTTTTGTTCCCAGACTTCTGCCATAGCTTTTTAGTCAACTGGTCGGTTTGTTTTTAAACCCTTCTTGAAGGGCACAGGACAGTCCCCACTGAGCCGAGTCACAGCCATTCTGCCATGCCTTGTACTGGTGCTCACTTTGCTACCATCTATTTACCACACCTCAGGTCCGATGTGCTTTAGGTAGTTTTGGCCTAAGCCCAAATAGCAAATGAGAAGAGACAGCTGGCTCTCTGCAGGAACTTTTCTCACTGGTGACCCTGGGGGCTGAATTGGCAAAGCTGTCTGGACTTTATATGAAGGCTGCTCTACAAAACAACCTTATAAAAGTCTATTCATTTATTCACTGGAGTAACATGTTTTAAATGAGGAAATATAGTATTTTTTGATGACTAAACACATTCTGTACCAAAGCAGACTGTTTTTAATAACTCTTTAGGACTAGCTTAAGATCTACCTTGATTTAAAATAAAACAGCAGCCTGATTCCTTCTTTTTAGTAAAAAGTGAATTCTTCCAATAAGGAGGGTGTGAAGACTGGAACAAACACACTTTAACGTTAAAGAGAAGAGCTATTTCTTTCCAGTAAAGAGCTGAGTACCCCTGTATAATAAGGCTTTTAAAAGAGAAAAAACCACACATACCACAATACTTGCCAAAAAGCTTAATACAATCTTTCGAGTCCGTAACTCTAAACAATAAATATGAAAAATAATGTACATGGCACACCAGAGCAGTTAAATATTAAGACAAACTAGTAAAGTGATAACATTTACCTATACTGTCAGTGATAAATTTGTTTCACTAGTGTGATAAAACACAAGTCTTATATACAAGACGTTCTGCAAAGAAAAACCATAGAACCATGTTGATACAGAAGGTAAGGGGCGGAGAGGGAGACAACAAGTAACAAGGCACAAAAACCTCTCTTGCTGCAACCTTGTAAGGCACCATGCATGCAAATGTGAAACTCTGCCAAAACCTGTAGTGGAAAAATATAAAGTCTAAATGTGTTTAAATGGCTGGATAATGTATTTTAAAGATGGCATTACTCTCATCTCTTTGAGATTAAAGAAAGCTTTTATGAATCTTTATTCACAGGTTTAGGCTTTTAAAAAAATTGGTGAAATGAACAATTAAAACTCCCTAAATACAGGGGCCATAATTCATTTCTCTCAGACAGCTTCACAAGTGCAACTTGATCATGACTTATGGACTGGCCTTGTAACAGAGTCCTGGATCTAATTTGGGGTAGAGAGAAACGCTGCCAATTATATGAAGTTGTGTGGTGCACTGGTAGTTTTAACAAAACAGAATTTAGGGATTAGGATGAGAATAAACTTGTTTCACTTGTAACCAAAAAGGATTTAAATCCAGAGACAAAAATTGGTAGCATTAATCTAACACCATACCTAGGAATCTTAATAACTAAACTTGTTATTTGTACCTCTACTTAAAGATTAGGCACTCACATTTTTATTTCCCTGTTCTGTTTTCAAATGCTACTGCCCAGAAAAATCTATCATGGGAGGGAGACTTGGGCAAAACCTTCTCCCTTACCAAGATAAGCTATAGACACACAATTAAGTTTAGATACTTTAAGTTTTCCTATGTCCCAGGATTTCTACTGTATCCTGCCAGAAGCAGTTTTTGTCCTCTCTCAAATTATAAAAAAGAAGCTCCAGTTTAAATTGAATTTTTTTCAGAAAAGTCTAAGTCAGAAGTTCTACAAGATAAAAGGGAGACTTTGCTAACTATTGAAATTTTTTTCCCCCAAAGATTTAGTATGAGGCACTCCATTTCTCATGGGCAGACACGAGTGAAACAAGTTTTTTGTATCTGAGGATAGTCAGCATCAGACTATGCTAGAACTTGTGCTTCTGTTCTTGAAACCACACACAGTAAACAGTTGGAAGGGAATACAGCTGTTCAGTTATTGACTTTTAAGGATATCCTTTACTCTTTTTATACTTCACCATTAAATATCAATGCTTAAGATCTCACACACGTGAATTATAGTTTCATGGAAGCTCACTGTTGCTAGAGAGCAAGATCTGGCCAATTATATTTTAAACAATAAAGGAATTTGGGGGGAGGGGAAGACATGACATCTTCAGTGGTAAGTTAGCATTCATATAGCTATTTGCTGTCAGGCTGCACCAGCTTAGGTGTGCTTCATTCCCTACATCCAGTCCTGCTTTAAGGAAATAACAAATCTGAGCAAGCACAATATAAATAGTCAGATTACAGGCTGCAGTAGTCAAGGACAAGAATATTACCGACTAATAGGTTTAAGGCCAACTAGTTATGATTTGATATATCGCACTTTTTCATGGCACTTAATACACTGAAATTTAGTAGTGGGTGACATTAAACAAAGGTATACATATTTATATTGTATGCAATATATACATGTAGCTTCAGTTTCTAAAGTAGAAAGCACAAGTTTTGTTGCCTAAATAAAATCAACTTGTGAAAGATCACCTGTGTTCTCCTATACTAAGTTATCATAAGTAACATTACTATCATTACTATTTTAATCAATTTAGTGCAAACTGACATAAGTTCAAGAACACTTTTGTCACTACTTACCAAATGCCCCTTCCTTTAAAATACAGTTATACTTTTTTCTTTTTAAAGAGAACAGCAAGTACTTGACAATTAGCATGCTGTTCTAGCCTACATAATAAAATTTGCAAATATACAAATCAAGTTTTGGTCATGCAGCACAGACCCATCCTCACAATAATCTCCCTTTTATTTCAATCAGTCTAGAAAAGCAGAGCACTGTGCCAGATTTCAATTAACAGGTCATCCTGGCCACTCCATACTCCAAGCTGACAACAGCAGGCTCAGCTTTTGAGAGCTCTTCCATGAATTCACTGTAGCGATTGTCTGGTGTGCTGCTGCCCTCTATAGTTCTCACAGAGTCATTCACAGGCATCAGTGGCTGCTCCTTCTTGAAGCATGGAGGGGTTTTCAGTGCCATGGGTGCAGGAGGGGCAGAATGCAAAGGCTCCTTCATGAGGACTGCATCTGACTGACCATTTCTCCGCTTAATTTTCTGAAATATAGAAAATTATTACTAATAGTAAGCACTTGATGATACTCTGCTTTGAATGGAAGTGAATTCACTACTTTTGCTGTCCAATGCAACCTCTGCAGAACCCTATATTATGTACCCTAGATTAGACATGTAAAAGGATTATTACATGTTAGGCCATTGTGTATGTTCCCCCCAACCATCTACAGCAGATGCTAGAAGCAATGTATGCTTAAAAATGTGCAGCTGAACAGAAGACAGAAGGTTGCCTCTTAAGCTTGTCAGTGCCTAGAGAAGAAAAGAGATTTCTCTGGACTAAAGCAGAGGAAGACAGTCCTCAGTACTACTAGCAAGCAGCAAGCCAGCAGCAGCAGACTAGGGGTCTCTTAAGAGAAAGCAGGTTCACAGGTAAGCCTCTTCTCCTTCCTAACGTCTTATAAAGACTTACATCTGAGAAGGAAGGAAAAGAAATTGTTTAAATACAGGAAGCCACTGAAAGCTGCTAACTAGAAAGTAGGACTGGAAGAAAGGACCTATAGCGAAAGTACACAGCAACTAGAAGCTTGCAATAACTGAATTGATTTTTCTGGCTGATGTGTTCGTGCTCTGTTAAAACTAAGATCGAGTTCATGAGTCTTTGCCGTCTTAACACACTAACTTGGAAGACTGAAACATCAGCAGAAAGGTCCACATCAAAATTTCAAACAACCTGGGTCCTCTCCTCATGAATTCAATTGAGAAATGTGGGCACAGGTAAAGTCAATGCTTTGGAGCAAGGTTCTACAAAACTGAAGTTTACTTTGAGTTTTCATCTTGCTGATTTTATCTTGCTTTTTATCTTGAATTCTCATCTCGTTGTATCAATTGTTTAAAAAGTGTTAAATACACAATTAAGACTTGAGACAGTTTTTAAGGTTATCAGCTTAAAATCCACCCTTTTACAGAATCACAGAATCGTTTAGGTTGGAAGGGACCTCTGGAGATCATCTAGTCCAACCTCCCTGCTCAAGCAGGCTCCTCTAGAGCATATTGCCCAGGATCGCGTCCAGGCGGGTTTTGAATATCTCCAGGGAAGGAGACTCCACTGCCTCTCTGGGCAACCTGTTCCAATGCTCTGTCACCCTCACAGTGAAGAAGTTTTTTCTCAGGTTCAGATGGAACTTCCTGTGGTTCAGTTTCTGCCCGTTGCCTCTTGTCCTGTCGCTGGGCACCACGGAGAAGAGAC